GCCGTCGTCACCTCCAGCTGGAACTCGCCGCGGCCGCCCGCCGGCGCATCGGGCGATTGCGCCAGCGTCGACGCCCGCTGCAGGATCTTGTACGCGTTTTTGCTGGCGCTGTTGCTCGGCGTGTGGAAGAGGGTGATGGGGTCGAGGGTTTTGGCCTGTTCTTGTTATTAGTTGGGTTTTGGAGGGGGGAAGGGTTGGGGGTTGGGGGCTCTGCGGAGGGTTGAGGACGTACGAAGCGGAAGACCATTTTGTCGGTAGTGGAAGTGGTTGTGGTTGGGGTTGTGGGATTGGTGTTGCTGGGTTAGTGGTGGTGGTGAAATGTAGCCTGTAGGTAGGTAGGTAGGTAGGTAGGTAGGTAGGTAGGTAGGTAGGTAGGTGGGTAGGAGGTAATGCAGTGCCCACAGGTGGTTGGAGTCGGGGTCTGCATTGGGAGATGGCGGTTAGCTCAGTGAGCTGAATGCGGGTGTTGCGGGTTACTGATTACGTCATGGGTCGGTTACTGAGTCATCTTAACCACCCGATTGTTGTGATAGATTCTTATACATTTGACTGTTGCTTTTGCCTTCTGCATGGGTTGATTCTTATATGTTTGGTCTTGTTCGGTTCGGTTACAAGGAGATTTTGGTGTTACGCTCTGGGAGATTGTTTTGCGAATATCTAGTGCTATTAGAGCTACACCTCTTAATCCCACTGGGTGCCGAGTATAATGAACCTCACTGTATCAAAAATCATGGTATCTATCATTATCGTATATACATCATCGCCATTGACCATCCAATGCTCTACCACCCAAATTGCTCTATATGCAGATATATCCCCTGGGCGCCGGTCCCCTTGTGCACGGCGCGCTCGTCGCTCAGCGACACCACGCTGCGCCGCGTGTCGTCCGACAGTCCCTGCGGCCCACAGACCACCACGGCGCTCTCCCCCTCCGCCCGCTCGAGGACCTTGCGGATGACAGTGCGAACCTGAGGCCGACCAGACAGAACCGTCAGGGGGCGGGTGGGTGCGGGTTTCGTATCCGGGGATACCGGCTGGCCCGCCGCTTTCTCTGAGCCGGACGGTGCAGCCGTCGCGGCGTGTCCCGAGCAGGTACACTTGCTTGTGATCACATCTTCATCCTCGATGGCTGCCGTGCAGCAGCAGCCTCCGCCGGGTAGACACCCGCTGTCGCTGATAGAGATAGCATCCTTTTCCACGATCTTCTCGGTGTATTTCTCGTCGGTCGTTTCCATGGAGGACCGGGACTGAGCCACGGCGGTGGAAGGCGTCTGTGCGCACAGGGTGGCTTGCGTCGGCTGCTCCAGCTTCTCGTCGCAGGTGATGTAGATGCTCAGCTCGATCTCGCGGATGAGGTCGGCGTTGCCACGCTGGCACTCTTCCGCGTCGGCCAGGACGGACTGCAGCTGGCTTTCAAACCAGCTGAGCTGGGTGCGTGATTTGATCACCCACACGAATCGGATTCGCTTGGTGGCCGCGAGGTGCTTGGGTGAAGCGCCAGCTTGTGCGCAGTCTTTCTTCCATTTGGCCACAATGTCTCGCAAGCACGGGATGGTATAGGTTATGCCCATTCCGCCCGCCAGGAGGATTACACTGTCGAATTGCTGCAGCGGCCTCATCTGGCCATACGGGCCTTCAAGGAAGACCGTTCGCGTCTGTTTAGTGGACGCGGTCTCTCCTGTCCCGAGCATATGGTGGCGCTTCGACGCGTAGCGGAAGAACCGACGGGTTCCGCCTTTCTCAGCGCGGACGAAGACTTCGAGCTTGTTGTCCTCGGGGATCGACGCGATGGTGAAAGGGTGGCTTTGGAGCGGAGCAATCGAATGGCATGTGAGAAAGACATGTTGACCTGGCTTCCAGCTGACCCCGGGATTCTCAATTGTGACACGCGTGACGTTGCCCGGTAGAGGGGTGAAAGTCGCCCTGTTGGCCCAAAGGGCATGGCTTGGAGAATTCGAGCGGTGGAAGATCGACAGATTGATATATGTGGCCCAGATATAGCGCGCCACGCGATCGAAGACGAGAAACCCTATCGGAATCCAGACCCAGACCTTGACCTCCGCCGGGGCATGCAGCCAGACGGCCGCGATGAATCCAACAAATGTGACCAGATGTTGCAGGACAAAGAACTCATATCCGAATCTTCGGATCGGGGCGGCGGAGGTGATCACGATCCAGGTCAAAATGACCCACGCGGCTAGTCCTCGAGCAATCAATGGGTAGTTCTTGATTTCGTAGGAGATATAGTTGTAGCGACCCCAGTCGCGGAACCAGAAGGCCATGTGGATCGTGGCCGTCAGCCATAGCGTTCGAGCCACCCATCGATGGTACCAGTTCAGACGTTCATAGCTCATGCCTACCAGGGCACCTATGAGGTTCTGTCTCCCGGCTAGCAGGAAGATCAGGGGCAACTGCGCGATGGCAACGAATCCGGTCCGGTAGCCCACGTCCTCCCAGCTCCATTGATCCGTAGTGTCCAGCTTGTAGAAGCAGAAGACAAGCACGACAACCAGATTGGCCAACACAACAGCCACTGGCCCCAGAGGCGCAAAGTGGAAGGTATGGCTGCGGATCGATACGGGAGGTAGCGTCGCATAGCTTGCCTCGCGGACAATGGCTGTGAGGGTGGCATATGCGTTGAAGAACAGTGACTTGGGTTTGGACGGAGTGAGGGAGGTATCCCGAAGTCTGCATACGTGAGCACCGCAATATTCGGCCTGCATTAAAGGATTAACTCACCTTTGATAGGCGAGGTAACGGTTGAGGAGGTTCACCACAGTACCCGCGGCGATAGCACTGCCTATGACCACCCAGTACATTTTCTGGAGATAGAAGAGACCGGGCACGCCAGCCCCCATGGACATGTGGCCCATGCCCGACATTGACATGTCCATGTCCATCTTGGCGGTGACTAGCGGTTGTTGAATATAGATGGACAAGAAAGGACACTATCTCGGCGGAAGATGGTGAAAGGCAGGCGATATACGGAGAGAGAGGGCCAGAAATTCAACGCATCTCGTTCAGAAGCAGCACCACATCACACACAACCTTGACAGAGGGGGGGGGGGAGATTGTCGGCTATTCAAAGTTTCATGTCGCATGAGTGTGCAGCGTCATGGAGTACATGTAAGTAAGAAGAGTAAGTGGGCAAGTTCAAGTGATGAGTTGGAAATTGGAATCAAATCATGGGTGGGGGGGGGAATTATGGTCGACAAGGCTGGATGGAACCATTCCGCATGAGTAGAACAAGCCATGCCATGCCATGCCATCCCCACCTGTCTTGATACATGATAGCCAGGAATTGATAATAATCTTCTCACTGTGTAAACGGACTGAAGTAGTCATAATCTGCTCACCTCCACCGCCCGTTTGTCCGCTGCTTTCGGCCTGGCGGGCGATTCCGCGCCCGGTGATTGGCTCCCTGCCTCTAAAATGTGCTCAAGCGCCAAACCGAGTCGGGCCAAAATGTGCTCAATCTCGGAATGAACGCCTTCGCTTCAATTTAACATCAGCCTGGTTTGGAGGATCCAGAACTCGACTGACTGCTGGCCCGCCATGGCTAAGATATCGTCGCGGGTCGGCCCTCCTTCTCCCTCTTCTTCTTCTTCTCCTCTTTCTTGGTGCTCTTTCTTTCAACATCCTCCGCTGTCCTGATTCATTGAGCTCTCTCTCTCCCCCGTTGTACAAAAACCACTCTATCCCGCAATTAATCTCTTATATCCGAGACCACCGCTCGCACCACCACCACCACCACCCAAACCCACCCACCCCTCCAACCCCGCGCCCATCATGGACATGAGCAGCATGGATTCCAGCTCCTCCTCCTCCTCCATGTCCATGACCATGGTCTTCACCAACAGCCACACCACCCCCCTCTTCTCCGCGCAATGGACGCCCACCTCGAGCGGCCGCTACGCCGGCACGTGCATCTTCCTGATCGTGCTGGCCATCATCGGCCGGCTGCTGGTGGCCTTCAAGGCGCTGATGGAGCAGCGGTGGCTCAGCGCCCACCTGCAGCGGCGCTACATCGTCGTGGCCGGCAAGTCCACCGAGGCGGGCCGCATCGACGCCGACCCGGACGCCAAGGGGGCCACGCTCATCACCGCCCAGGGCGTCGAGGAGAGCGTCCGCGTCGTGCGCCGCACCGCGCGCGAGCCCCTCCCCTGGCGGTTCAGCGTGGATCTGCCCCGCGCGCTGATCTTCCTCGTCATCACGGGCGTGTCTTATCTCCTGTACGTATTAGCCCCCCTCCCCATTCCCTTCTTCATGCTGTCCTTCATCCGAGGCCGGATGCTAATGGTTTGGTTGATTGCTGCAGCATGTTGGCCGTCATGACTATGAACGTGGGCTACTTCTGCTCCGTTTTGGCCGGCGCGTTCCTTGGGGAGCTCGCGGTGGGTCGGTATATTCAGTGGAATGAACATGATCACTGAATGGCTTTCTTACATTGTGTTCTGATGCTTCTGTTTGGGCGACGTGTTTTGCATTGATTGCGGATTAGCATGGGAGTCTTTTTTTTTCTAGATACCTTTTCGATACGAACCGTTTACGATATACTTACTTGTGGAGGGGCTTATCTGGGGCATAGCTGGTGCTTTTCGATGTCCCGTGGTGTGGATGGGTGGAATGTTGGGAGTCGAGGGTGGATTGTACATAGACATGGATGCTGTATAAACATACATATGATCATTGGCCATGAATTATCTATCGGTCAGTAAGCCTCAATATAGAACGTTACTTGCGTTGATGGCCTCCATGCAGCTGGCGAGTGTCGCTTGCGTTGGCCGGAGACAGCCGCAGTGGCATGATCACCAGTCGATCGGCCGGATCCCATTGGCGCGGAAATAAGCATCCTGCCAAGATTCCACCGTCGTTGTTTACCCCAGTACGATTTAGGGAAGTCCATGCGAAGCTAACCAAGACTCACGAGAGCAAAGATCAAACACACTGAAGAGTCGGATTAAATCTCCACAAGATAACTGCTTCGTAATTCGAAAGAACAATTTAACCCCGATCCAAATGAAAAGAAAACATCAAACATCAAACGCGCTCGTCGGCCGAGGTTCCAACCCCACCCGCCGGTACGTCTTATCGACCGCCTCCATCTGCCTAATACTCTCCCCGCCGTCAATCCACACCCCAGACCCTTTCCTCCCTTTAACCCGATTCACAAACTCCTCCAACTGACACCGCCACGTCGTCCACCACTCCTGATATGTCTCCGCCCGGTGATCCCCGGCGGGCCAATTATACGCCTTGCGGTACTGCGCCTCCTCCCACGTCTTGGACAGCCTCCCTTTGCGGTAGAGGGTATGCGTGTCGCGCACGTCGATGCGGTGGTACACCGTCGGCAGGATCATGTTCCAGATCGTGACGGTCCGCTGCACGAAGTGCTGCGTCTCCGTGCCGCCCTGCGAGGCCACCAGGATCGCGGCGAGGGTGGCCTCGGTCTTGGGCCATGCGAACCAAGGGATGCATTGGGACCATGTGGTCGGTAGCAGGGAGAGAAACCCGCCGCCGTTTTGCGTCGCTGCTGCTGCTGCTGCTGCTGCTGCCGCTGTGTATGCCAGATCGCCTGCGATGTGGGCTGTTTGGAGGCCATCGGCGGTCTGGTATGTGGCGGCGATGGCGGTATCGATCTGCGGCGCGTCGTGGAACGGAGAGGAGTCGTAACTGCTGAGCGGGCGTGGTGGGGTGTAATGGCCTTCCACGACCACAAGGTCCTCCTCGCGCTCGTTCGAGAGGTTCAGAGCTTGGCGCACACAGGAGAGCGGGTATGTCGCCAGGTCCATTAGGCATCCGCCGGACAGGGCGTACTGGAAGCGGATGTCATCGCGCGCGATGTAGCCCCTGGGCAGGTAGAATTGCGAGGATGTGTCGACGACGGTGCCGGGGCCCCAGGGGGTTTGGCGGGTCAGGGAGAGGAAGGTTTGCCACGCTGGGTGGAATTGGTGGTGGAAGGCTTCGAGGAGAACGGGGGCATTGGGGGCGGTTGCGAGGGGGTGGGTGAAGAGCTTGCGGGCTTCGGTGGCGTTGGAGCATGAGGGTTTCTCCAGGAGGACGTGCTTGCCTGCTTGCAGGGAGCGGAGGGCCCATTCGTAGTGGTGGGAGTTGGGGAGCGCGATGTAAACGGCGTCGATGGTGGGGTCGTCAAGCAGGTCTGCGCAGGTGTTAGATCCGCCCTGTTCTGTTCTCGTAATGCCAATCTCTCGGTTGAGACAGAGGCAGGCACTCGGATGATGGGTCTTGCTTGACCTTGGTAGGAGCTATGCACGATGGGGATGTCGTGTGTCTTAGCGTACTGCTGCGCGCGGTCTGAGTCGCGGGCAGCAACCGCTGCGATGATGACCTCCGGATGGGACTTGGCCGGTACTATGACCGAGTTGGGGCTAGAGAGATATCCGTCAGAATGGAGACGCAGGGACTGAATACTACTGATCCAGAGGCTCCCTCACGCTATGTTGGAAGCTCCGAGTAGACCGAGGCGAATGGCGCCATCTTTCTTCGCGGGAGTAGGTGGATTTAAGATATAGTAGATTCGTTGGAACAAACTCATCGACGCCATTATCAGTGTATTATGATTAGTCTTCTACTTGGGCCGATTGTTCGATGCAAGCTGAGGGATATCTGTCATTTTTGGTGGTGAGTGCCCGAGTGACATGGTTGATGGTTACTCCGCACGAGAATCTTTGGTTCTACCTCGTACACAAGCGACGGAAAAGGAAGTCCGGTACATTATCCATCCATGATGCAGAATTGTTCCCATATGATAATGCGGGCAAGCTAATTGACTTCCTGATATTCAACTCTTCTTCTTCTAAATTAGTGAACCCACTCGATTTCGTTCTGGTCAATACTGTAACTGATTGATAGCTCTATCTGATAAGAGGGTGTGCCTCAAGCGAAGGCAGGCAGGTTCGGAACTGCCTCGGATTTGCCCGCGCCCTGAGAAGAAATGAGCACATTTCTTAACTCAATTTGGCCTAGTGTCTCCCGGGGCCCGTTCCAGCCTTGAGTGGGAGCTGCCACTTACACCCTGCAGGAGAAGGAGAATTGAACATCCCGGAACTGAATTGAAATGAATATGGTGGATGATTGCGGGCAAACGAAACCCTTTCCTCAGTTGGAACTAAACTCAGGGCCCAATTGATGCAGCCATGGGTCCCTTCGATCCTGTAGACTAAGTAGTTTCAGTCTTGGTCATTAATCAATTTGGCGGAACCGAACTGACAGAGCTCCTCCCATTCCTCCTCCGCCGAATCCGCCGTCCAAGTCCACTCTCTGGCACTCCCACCTGCCCTAGTCTTATATAAAGTTCTCCCCCTCTCCTCCATCCTTCTGAAGTAAGCTCTGTGCCTCTGTACCTCTCTCACCCCTCAATTTCCGGACCCCAAGGATCACCATGAAGTTCTCCATCCTCCCCCTGGCGGCTCTCGCCCCCCTGGCCGCTGCCCACTTCGAACTCGAGTACCCCACGAGCCGCGATGGCACCGAAGACAATATGGTGAACTTCCCCTGCGGCAGTGCGGCCCAGTCCAGCAACCGCACCCAGGTCTCCATTTCCGCCGGCTCCTTCCCCGTCGCGCTGTCCATGGGCCACTCCCAGACCGCCGTCGAGGTGCTCCTGGCCCTGGGCACCGACCCCGGCACCAACTTCAACATCACCCTGCACAAGACCTTCGAGATCGAGGGCCTGGGTGCCTTCTGCCTGCCCCACATCACCTTCGATGAGTCCATCCTCGGCACCAACATCACGGATGGCATGAACGCCACCGTTCAGGTGCAGAGCAACGGCGATCCTTCTGGAGGTCTTTATGCTGTATGTCAATCCTGGCTGTTCGATACATGAAAGCTTTGCTAACAAGTTGGGAAAACCAGTGCGCCGACATCCAGTTCTCCTCGACCGTGAGCTACGACGAGCCTTCGACCTGCAAGAACAACACCGGCGTCAAGGCTGTCGAGTTCACCGGCGCCGCCGCTGACCGCAATGCCAACGAGTCGACCGCCACCGGCGGTGCCCAGGACGGCTCTTCATCTAGCAGCGGCAGCAGCAGCAGCTCTTCCGCCAGTGGCTCCAGCAGCACTGCTACCTCCACTGGTGCTGCGGTTCCTCTGCAGACCGCTGCTTGGGGAATGCTCGGTGCCGCTGTTGTCGGCGGTCTTGCTGTTCTGTAAACGAGCGAGGACTTTTGGGCCACATCGAAGCCCATGTCTTAGATTGTGGAAGAATGCTGCACTACTCAGATGGTATGGAGAGAGAGGGTGCGTGAGAGAGCGAGAGAGAGACAAAAAAGAGAACGAGATGATAAAGAAAAAAGCCAACGAATGACATTTTCGAAGGAACGATCATGATCTGACGATAATTTCCCACACAGCGCTTGTTGATATTGCGATTGTGTCTACCCTGTACATATTCATTTTAGTTGTCTATGCTTTTCGATACCACCTTAATATGAAGGACATGGACATGTGACCAGACAGCAGGAGACACCTCGTCCCTTGCCACTTTGCTTGCTTTCAGCTTCTCGTACGTGCCTCCATATCGAATGCAATCTGGAGTAACAATCCGCTTTAGCACATTGTGGATAGCCAAATTTATTGCAGTATTCATACGATCAAGTACCTGCGAATGCAGGGCCAAAATCGGACCCGAAACAGCTTTACTGCGTATTCGACCAGCTTCACAGCCAAAACCAAGTCCTTCTGCAGGTTGATTGAAATTTTTCCTTGGCTGGACCCTTCGGCCCTGAGTTCGGATACACATACCTTTAGAGGTGACTTGCCCAACCAGGCAATCCCGCGGTGCTTCGGGTTGCCAAACAAACAAACCCCTCGTTCATTGATCAACCAAACCCGCGCAGATATATCAATTCATTACCCCCAATACTGTCGGAAAATCAGTTCGACTTGGTACTCAGCCACTTAATACCATAACTTGATCCCTATATATCGCAGGCAGCAGCAAACCTCAGTTGCAACTGAAAGTCGCAAAGTTTTCCTGTTACGGCATCGACCGCGGAATTTCGGGCCTAGCCGATATAAAAGCCGTTTGGCTCCGGGGATCCTGCCAGGTGGTTCACCTTATCTTATCGCCTTCAACCGTTTTGTTGTCAAACAATCTCGACTTTTCCCAGACTTGCTCCCTATTGTTCTTTGATTGTCACGTGAATCTGGGGTATTTTCTCTCGTTTTGATTTCTGATTAGTGGCTGTTAGGTCAATTATTCGCGAAAATGGATAACTACGAGAAATTACGTTCAGCAGGTGAGTTCGTGGTGTCCCCGATTTGAGGCCAAAGCACCGTGAACCTTCACTGATCTCCACGGCCTCTAGGATATTTGGAGAAGTACTCTATAGCCCGCCATCCGCTCGGGTTCTACTACAATGTCGGCGTCACCGCCACATACACGCTACCTGAGACCTACACGCTTCCGCTCCGGGACTATGTGTACAAGGCCTGCGAGATTCTGATCGGCCAGCACCCCGTTCTCTCGGCGGTTCCCGTGAACGAGGAGTCGGATGAGGCATACTTCGTCCGCCTCCCGGAAATCGACCTCGCGCAGCCGGTGAGCTTCCACAAGCGTCTGCGGGGGTTTCCCGAAGGGGACGCAACCGACACCGAGCTGGACGAATACCTTCAGACGCAGCATAGTACGGGGTTCACGACACCGGGGGCGCCGTATTGGCGCCTGGCGATCTTCACGGACGACGAGGATGATAATGCATCGGCGCGGCGACGGTTCACAGCCGCGTATATCTTCCACCACGCCCTGGGCGACGGCACGTCCGGGAAGATCTTCCAGGAGACGTTCCTCGAGGCGTTGACGACCGCGGGGTCGGCACTCAGCGCGGCGTCCGGCGGCGAGGAAGCGAAGCAGGTCGTGCCTACGCCGGTGGGCACGCCGCTGCTGCCGAACCTGGAGGCCGCGCATCCCTGCAGCATCTCCCTTCCGTTCCTGCTGAGCGCGGCGATCAAGATGAAGTTCGGGGGACGGGACCGCGGGCTCTGGACGGGCGCGCCGGTCTTCACGCCGCTCGAGGCGCGAGCGCGCCACCTCGTCATCCCCGCACCGGTATCAGCGGCGTTCCGCCAGAGCTGTCGCCGGAACGGCGCCACGGTCACGGCGGCCGTGCAGGCGGCCATGGCGCAGGCGCTGTTCGCGCACCTGCCGCCGCAGTGCACGAAGCTGCGGCTCACGGGCGCCATCTCCGTCCGCAAATGGCTCACCCAGGCGATCCCGGAGAAGTCGCTGGGTGTCTGGGTGATGGACTTCGGGGAGAGTTATTGGCGCAAGAGCCTGCCTGCCGCCGCCGGCACGGAGGAGACCTTCCCCTGGAAGGAGGCGCAGCGCTCGCGGGAGACGATCGAGCGCGTGGTCGGCATGAAGGGGAAGAACACCGGCGTGAACCTCCTCAAGTACGTGTCCGGGTTTTCCGAGTTCTTCCGGTCGAAGCTCGGGAAGCCTCGTGGCGAGAGTATCGAGCTTTCGAATATCGGGGTCTTGAGTGCGTCGGATGAGGTCCAGTCAGACCCTTCGAAGCCCCAGATGGGTCGGGTCATCTTCTCGCAGAGTCCCAACGCTGCCGGCGCCGCGATTGTAGTCTCGGCGATCTCGGGTGGTGACGGCTGTTTGGTTCTGTCGTTTGGATGGCAGCAGGGTGTTGTGGAACCGGAGTTGGTTTCGGGCATGATTGACTCGGTGGAGAAATTGGTGCATCTTGCGGCACAATAGATTGGGGGTCATGGGAGGGGGATTTCTTTTGCTGTTATTGAGGTATTGCGGCCTGCAGCTGCAAAGGGCCTGCACATAGTATATAGTACATCAAGTATCGTTAATTCTAATACCATCTAATTTGAGTCGCTATACCCAGTATTTAGCGAGTGGATTCAGGCACCAGGGGCCACGATCCTCTCTCTGGATCCGTTGGGTGGGACAGCCGAGGCGGTGAGTCGGCGAGTCTGGCGGCAGAATTGCGGGGAATGGGACAAAATCCAGGGCCACTGCATCTTTCTGCATTTACTGGATCCAGTGTCACTCTCTGTGTTTCTCCCGTTGACGAAGACTAGAATAGACCAAGATGTCCTCTCGCGCTCCTTTCGTCGTTCCCGCGCTCACGAAGCACACCGCTACGGTGATCATGGCCCATGGTTTGGGCGACAGGTAAGGGCTCCCTTCCCTATACTGAATGAGGATCCCGATCTTGAACTAACTTCTGGTGAATGCATTCAGTGGCGCCGGATGGTATGTCCCCCTTGGTTTTCATTCACGATTGAATGCCTACGGGCCCAAACAAACGCGACGGGCTACAATAGATGACGTCAGACTGAACATGGCGATCTTCACAGGATGGCACTCGCCCAGAACTGGCGCCGCCGCGGCGTGTTCGACGAAGTCGCCTTCATCTTCCCCAACGCGCCGATGATCCCCATCACCGTGGTATGAAACTACGCGATGCCTTCCGAATAAGTAGCGCAATGGACTAATCCGAGCCACTTTTGGGGGGCTAGAACTTCGGAATGACGATGCCCGGTTGGTACGACATCACCAAGCTCGGCCGTGATGTGAGTTTCCATCGCCGCGCAATGTACTTTCTTGGCTTCGGAATGATGATCTGTACCTAACAACCGATGTGCTTGATCTATAGTTGGACTTCGAAGAAGCCATCCGCAACCAGGACGAGCCGGGCATCCTCCGCTCGCGCGAGTACTTCAACACCCTGATCAAGGAGCAGATGGACAAGGGGATCAGCGCGTCGCGGATCGTGCTGGGCGGGTTCTCGCAGGGCGGCGCGATGTCGCTCTTCGCGGGGCTGACCAGCAAGGAGAAGCTGGGCGGCGTGTTCGGGCTGTCCTGCTACCTGCTCCTCAGCGACCGCATCAAGAACTACATCCCGGAGGGCTTCCCGAACCAGGGCACCCCGTTCTTCCTCGCGCACGGCCAGGAGGACGAGGTGGTGCGCTTCGACTTCGGCAAGCAGTCCAGCGAGAAGCTCAAGGAGCTCGACCTGGCCAAGGTCGAGTTCCACTCTTACCCGTACGTGCTGTATTCCCCGTTTGAGGCCTCGCGTTCCCGCAGCGACCTTCCCGCTCACACTCGCGGTTTTCCTAGTTACCTGGGCCACTCCGCCGATCCCGACGAGATTGAGGACCTCGAGAAGTTCTTGCACAGTGTTATCCCCCCGGAGGGCGAGGGCCAGACCGGTGCTGCTGGCTTATGAATTTATGATCAACATCATCATGATACCTCTGTACAGACCCGGGGCCACTGGTGGGGGTCTCCGTCGGTCACTTTTAGCCTCGCTTTAGCCATTGTTGTTCTGTTGCTTGCGGTTCTGCTCCCCCGATTGGGTGGTTCCAAGGGGAACCGGGATCGGGATCCTGTTGTCAGGAAACAGGACTGACATAATGACATATGTTCCGTTCTCTTCCTAGATGACAAAAGAAATCTAATCTGCATGAAACTGGAAGAGTAGCTGTTGCTCATGGTAGATCATATATATACTCGCTTCCCCTTCCCCCACCCGCGTCCCCGAACCATAACCCAAACCCCACAAGGCCACTTATTGCCCCCCCACCAAAACCCTCCGAATCGACCCCTCCACCGCCGCAATCATCGCCTCCGTGTTCTTCACATCAAAGGGCACCAAATGCCGCGAGCCGTGGTCGTAGAACTCCGCCTGCGCCGGGTCGCACACCCCGTACAGGCGCATGCTGTGCGGGTACAGCGCGTCCTGCTTGCCCACGATATGCGTCGTGGGGATCGCGATGGGCCACGCGCCGGTGACAGCCGCAGAGGAAGAAGGGGGCTCGATCAGCTCCGTCCCCGACGGGTCGAAGGGCGAGGCGCCGCAGATGAAGACCGCCAGCTTGAACAGCGGTTTCTCGGAAGGGTGCTGCTCCGCGTGCTGGATGATCATCGCGCTGGCCAGGGCGCAGCCCTGCGAGAAGCCCATGACGCCGTCGAAGGGGCCCTGCGTCGCGATGATCTGCTGCACGTATTCGATCGCAAGTCGCAAGTTGTCGCCCGGTGGTTGGTCGCGCGGGTAGTGGCTGTAGAAGGGGCCGTCGAAGACGTCTTTGATTTCTGGGGGATGTTAGGTTTGTTTGGGACGGGGGGGGTGGTTGAGGAAGGTCGAGCGGGATGAGGGGTACGAGGCGGGAGGTGGCTTACCGGTTTCACCCTCGGTTTGAACTCGTCCATTGATGTAGGTGAATGTATGGCCTTTCTTCTCTAGGGCGTAGGTGATTCCACCTGGTATGGGTTAGAACGGTTCGTTTGAGCGATGGGTGTGGTGTTGATTGATTCAGGTTGACCATCATCATCCGGGACAGGGCATACCAGCCTGGATCTCGAAGATCTAGATGCCGCGAGTCAACTTGCTGTGCCCCGCCAAACATATTCGGGGAAAGATGGAGGGGGATGGGATGTAGATTAAGACTGCATTGCGTGGACAGACGTACTTCTCCGCTGGTCCCAGCACCGTGTAGACAGAGGAATCGCATTGTGGATTTAAGCTTTTGTTGTTGTAGTGCTTGGAAACTTGGGTCGACGTGGGAGGAGAGAAGTAGAAGTAGCTCTTATCAACAAAGGTACCGATCAATCAAACACCGCCCACCCACCGAGCCCGACGGAGTGGCATGTCGGGCTGACTCCGACAACGGCTCCAGCGTCAGCAGCGCCCCGACCATTCTAGGCTAGCCATGCTAGCTAACTTACCATCCATAGTGTCTGCTCTGCTTCTTGCAACCTTTGTCGGATTTAATCCTCACGAACCACCTCCCCCGCCTTCGTCGCATCATATACTACAGCCCGAATCTTCAGGAGCGATTCACATTGGGATGTCAACTATGACATATCCTCCGATTGGACATGGCTTACCGTACCACAATCTGGCCGCGCCCGTGCTTTCCGGAGGCAACTTTTTGGGCGTCTCCTGAACTTGCGACTGAGGGAAGCTCACAATCCATACTTCATTACTATCGAGCTGTGTCCTTCTAGGATTCTCAAGATGTCAGCTACAGTTTCATCGTCTCACAGGGCCACCTGGGGCGCATTGCAGCGCCCCTCGGAGTACTATCATCATTTTGGTCCTACCTTGAACGAACTCTCGTTCGGTCTCCTGGGGTGGTCCTTCCAACCCCAGCGGGACATTGTTGACCTCTCAGGGAAGGTCATTCTTGTCACAGGAGGTATTTCTGCTTGGTCTCTGTCATTTTTAACGTTAGTGGCGCATGCTAATCTTCATCACTTGGGATAGGCAACACCGGCCTCGGAAAGGAAACCATCGTCCAACTCGCCCAACACAATCCATCCCGCATCTACCTCGCCGCACGAAATGAGGCCAAAGCTCAGGATGCCATTGCCTCGATCCGGGAGAACATTCCATCCGCAGTCGACATCAGATACCTACCCTTGGATCTGGGATCACTGAAATCCATCCGCGCCGCGGCCGAGCGCTTCCGTGCGGACTGCGACCGCCTGGACACTCTGATCCTCAACGCGGGCACGATGAACAACCCGACCAAATTCACCGAGGCAGGATTCGAGCTGCACATGGGCACGAATCACATCGGACACTTCCTGCTCACCACCCTGCTGCTGCCGATCATGCAGAAGACCGTGGCGCTGTCTCCGGACGTCCGCGTCGTGTCCCTGAGCTCTGCTGCCAACGTGGGCAGCCCCCCCTTCGAGGTCATGACCTCCGCGTCCGCTCTGGCCGAGACTCCAGGCATGGTCCGGTATTGCGCATCCAAGGCGGCGAACATCCTCTTTGCGGCCGAGTTGGCCCGCCGTTATCCGGAGATTCTCTCCGTCGCGGTGCACCCGGGCGCGGTGGCTAGTGATCTATACGACCATACGATGCAGAGGCATCCCGTCTTCAATCTGGGGCTGAAGGTCATCAAGAGTGGGTTCTGTCGGTCTCTGCGCACGGGGGCGCTGAATCAGCTGTGGGCTGCGGGAGCGAAGCGGGAAACGCTGGTTAACGGCGCTTACTATGTGCCCATTGGGGTTCATGCCAGTGGGAATCCGTATGCCAATGACGTGGAGATGGGAAGGCGTCTGTGGGAGTGGACTGAACAGCAGATTGCTGAGAGGGGTTGATTCCATTGAATTTTTCCCATCCGTGACTGGTGACTTTTAAGGCATCTCTTGTATCTTTTTTTCGCATTGTAGCATAGCGTTCCTGAGGGACAAATCTCTTCATTGATAGTGAAAATGAACTGTGATATAATACTAAGACGATAAAGACTAGATATTGATGCTACGCTCATCGAGACCACTGGGAAGGGACCGGCGGGCGGGAGCATCAGATTACCCGATTAGGAATGAGATACCGGGGCTCGGGAGGTGAACATCCAGGGTCCCATACAATCAGCCACCACTGGTCACAACTCAGCTCAATACAGTTAAACTTATAAAGACGATCGTCCCATTTGTTGCAGAAGTAATGCCAATGCTAAGTGCGCGGACGACCTGCCATGAACTCTGGACTGCACCATGCGCTCGATCGGTGACACCAACTGCCAAATGTTAAGTGACTGGGTTGCTGCCCGTCAGCAGCAGGCGATCATTAGGGTTTAGCCGAGGAGCCTCTCTGGACTCCCTCTTCGAGTTTTTCGCCCACAACCACCATGGCAGATCTCCGATCTCGATGATAGTAGCAGATCCAAACCATTGAGAATGTACCTTGTAATCAGAATCATCATTGTAGAAGCTGTAGGAGCTATACGTAGTGTAGAGGCCATGCGACTCTTAGCGAGGGGCGCGGTGGTCTCGCCGTGTCGGCGTTGCTCCCCACACAAACCCGCCCGGCGCATCACCAGCGACGGGTTGCTGCTGCTGCTGCTGCTTGCGTTCACCACCCGCCGTCGTTGTTCCTCCCACTCCCACTTCCACTCCTTCTCCTCTTCTCCCTCAGCACCATTCATCATCATCTTCGGTAGGTCTCCCCTCCCCCCCCCTTCTGTTTTTGCCAGCCTTATCACCAGAATTCTTGCTCGTCGCCCATTTGGTCCGGTACTTCAACGAAGAAATCCCCAATTTTCCCTTCATCCAACCCGACCGAGAAAAGTGTCACGTCGCTCTCACCTGACCTCTCCACCCACTTCCATCACCACCACTATTCCCAAAACCTCCACCACACAAATTCTACGAGTCTTACCGAACGTACATCTCTGACAAGTACTTTTTGAAGGTTCAGTTCGAACGACCACTCAATCACCTTCACAATGGATCAGGCAAAGTTGGCTCGGATGCAGGCTAGCGTGCGGATTGGTATGTGCCTTTTTGAATCTTCTGTCATAATTTTCCCCGTCGACCCCGATGCCCCTCCCCTCCCTCGTCATTTTGAAGGCCAGCTCCCAGCTGCCATGGCTTTTTCTCGCCAACGCAGAGCTCCTTGACAATCGCAAGTACTCTGCTTGAGAAAAAGCTCGCGCGACTTGCGTTCTACCCCAATCCTCTTTGGGTCTTCAAATTACCTAACGTTCAATGGAAAAGTGTTTGCTGACATATCTCTCTTCTGCGCTTGGTAGGGTACGTATCTCTCAACACCTTCCAGCAATTTCAATGTCCCTTGTGCACATAGAACACCGTTCAACAATCCATCCTATTCCTTCGACATGCAAGCTGAAGCGCGCCCCACCACCCAAACTCAGCCCGCAATTTCCAAACCCCCCTCTGCCTGCTCACATCTACCACATGATGACTATCACGATCGATCGAACCATCGCTAACCATCTCCCCCCCCCCCCCCCCCCCCCCCCCCCCACAATTACAACCCCACCCCCCGCAACCCCCCCCCCCCCCCCCCCCCCCCCCCCCCCCGAAACAGAGGCAAGGGTACTCCCCGCCGCAAGGTCAAGAAGGTCCACAAGTCCTCCGGGGCCGATGACAAGAAGCTCCAGGCCACCCTGAAGAAGATGAACGTCCAGCCCATCCAGGCCATCGAGGAGGTCAACATGTTCAAGGAGGACGGCAACGTCATCCACTTCGGTGCCCCCAAGGGTAAATCTCACACTTCTCCTGCTCACTACGACAACAAGAACTAACTCCCTCGTGAACAGTCCACGCCTCCGTCCCCTCCAACACCTTCGCCCTCTACGGTAACGGCGAGGAGAAGGAGCTCACCGAGCTCGTCCCCGGTATCCTGAACCAGCTCGGCCCCGACAGCCTGGCCTCCCTCCGCAAGCTCGCCGAGAGCTACCAGAACATGCAGAAGGCCCAGGGCGCCGAGGGCAAGAAGGACGATGAGGAGGATGACATCCCCGACCTCGTCGAGGGCGAGAACTTCGAGAGCAACGTCGAGTAAAATTTGAGATCCTAATATAACGAATATTACTTCTGTTGTTTATTTTTGTCAACGGTGTGCGTGCGTGTGGGTGGGTGGTGTGTGTGGGTTGGTGTCTGGCGAAGGCACCTCCGCTCCCGACTCTACGTGTGTGTCCCCGTGAAAGGGCGATCTGCATCTTACCAGTACTACTACTACCCCCTCTTCAAGAAGCTGGAGTTTCTTTTTGTTTGCGGGATTTTCGAGATCTTTTTCTTCATCATCTCGAGAAATCTAGGTTGAGGTCCTGACTTGTTCGAGGTTAAATATTACCGTTCAAACCGAGAATAAAAGGCTGCGTCTGTGGGATGTAGTGAGAATGCTGGTGGTCAAGTTCGATGGTTGACTCTCCATGCATTTTGTATCGGGGTTTCCGGATAAGTTCTTATGGCTCCAGCTATAATGAGTAATATCGACGAGCGAGTGATCGGCAGTCGATCTCTCTGGAGGGTATAGTAGCATTGTAAGGGTTCACCCACCGTGCAGGCACAACTCATGCTGGGTCTACGTCAAGCACACCAGTATAACCCAGCGATTAGACCTACAGATCTCTTGACCAGGAAACCCCTTCTTTCCTGATTATATGCAGACGTCCTTCATTACCTAGTAAGTAGTCTATACGCAAAAAGAATTCCATGTATCCCCCATGCATCTCTTTCCCCGCCTCCACGCGCGCAAAGAAGTGCAAGCAAAGATCCGTAATAACGCCCTTTTTTTTCCCATCAGAACACTACAACCACACAATGCAAATAGAATGGAAAGTCATGACAGCCAAGAAAAAAAAAACGAAAGAGTAGACGCGGAGATATCAATGAACCTTGAGGACCAGACTTTTTTTTCTTTCTCTGTTGTTTTGCTCTCATCGTAGAGATAGATATCAAGACAAGACAAAGACAACAACCGCCGGGCGCAGACAAGAGAAAGGGTTTATGGTACAGGGGAGATATGGTGTTTGCTTGCGTCCAATCGCTGGTCCAGGTCCATCATGTGCGCACATCCGTCGGCTTCCACTTTCCTCGGTCACATCACATCACGTTCCATCAATCCCAGGAGAACGGGCGACGGGGGTCTAATTCCTTGAGCCCCGTCGAGGAGCCGGAATATTGGAGGGCCTTTGTTGTTGTGGTTGCGGTGGTATCATCGGTGGGGTTCTCGATGGCCTCCAGCGGTGTTCGCGAGAAGAGGGGGCCTTTATCGGGCAAGGCTGAGCGGTGGTGTAATTGTTGTTGTTGTTGCGGTTGTACGGGCGATTCCGTGGCTGTGGTCGTTGCGGCTGCGGTCGTTGTTGGGACCGCAGCCTCGGAGGAATCCTCCTTCAGGCCGCAGATATCTGTGCCGATGATGCTGTCGATCATGTACCAGAACCGCCAGTAGGTATTGGACTTGTCGTAGTCGAAGGCGCCGTCCTCGCGCAGCTGGGGGCCGTCGCCCACGATATCGCCGGTGAACCAGCTGAGGATGGGGATGGAGCGCAGCACGCGTTCCGTGACGGTGGGCTGCGGCGGGAGGGCCTCGGTCAGCGGCCGCAGTTTCGTCCGCCGCACCGTGGGGATATGGGTCATGAAGTCGGATTCGGGTTTGGGTTGCACCGCGGGGGCGCTGGTGACGAGGCGCGGTTGCTGCACCGGAAAACTGCTGCCCGCCGGCTGCTCGAGCCCCATGGCCGTGGTCGAGCTAGCCGTCGGCGTGGAGTCCATCGAGTCCGCCTCCTCATCCATCCGATCCGGCACCGAGGACAGATTGCCGAACGCAAACGATCGGGGCAGGGTATGGCGCTCCTTGTCGGAGCCCGTGGGCAGGAACGCGGTGGAATGCGACGTCGTCAGCGTCCGGGGCGCCTTGGACTGCACGCGCTGCGCCGCCGCCGACCCGGCCACGATGGGCACATCCTCCGCGGGACCGCGGCCGTGGTACAGCTCGCAGAACACCAGGTGCCCGTCGATCTCCTGCGGCGAGAAGAAACACGCCCGGTCCGCCGCCGTCGTCGAGTCGAACGTGACCTTGATCCAGTGGTACCCGCCCGCGTAGCGCTTCGACTTCCGGTTCGCGTCCGCCGACAGCCCCGTCCGGATCACCACGTCCCCGCCGCTGAGCAGCTGCGAGAACCCCGTGGCCGCGTGCGGGTCCGTCCGCGGGTAGTCCTCGCAGATGAACCCCTGCGAGATCCGCTCGTACTTGTCCAGCACCTTCCACTCGCCGTCCTTGCTCTTGTACCCGTACAGGATACACTCCGTCGCGATCTTCTCCGCCTCCTGTTGCTGTTGCTGCTGCTGCTGCTGTTGTTGTTGTTGCTGCTGTTGCTGTTTGCGCAGGCTCTCCACGTTCGACGCCGACGCCGATTTCGGTAAAGTGTTGCTGCGGACCTTCTCGTCCTCCTGCTGCGCCGCGAACAGGCGTCCGAACTCGGTCACGTTGGGGTTCTCGCGCTTGGCCGCCGGCGTGCCGGTGCGGGTGCGCGAGCGCGTGTGTTCGTAGCGGGCGTTGCGGCGCTTGCCGAAGGGGCCTGATTCCTCCGGGGCGCGGCGTGGATTGCGGGATTCGCTGTGAGGGTGTCCTCCATTAGCATCGCTTGCTTTTTAGAATCGGAAAAGAAAAATCCAGCTATCTGTGAGGGAAACCCCCCGCAAGAATTTGCGCTGGTGCCCACTTACTCCTTGTAAACATAGCCCCAGGGTAACAGCTCGCCCTTCTCATTTCTGGCACGCTCCTCCGGGGGAACAAAGTGGTATTCCATGATGATAAAGAGATTTCAAGATGCGCTTGTCGTAAGTTGAAGCAGTAGCTAGAAGTATGAGACCGATGCAAGACGAGTGCAGATGCGCTGAGAAGAAGGAGGTGCAAAACGGGCTGGAGACGGTGCGGAATTGATGGAGTGGAGTTGAAGCTGGCCCAGGATCTCCAGCCCAAAAGTTTTGGGGCTCCGCCCATAAACAGTCGTGTTAGCCGGGATACCGTCACGTGAGGGGGCGGTCTTGGTATGTAGACTGGAGTGGTCAGTTGGACATGAATCGAACAACATTTTTGTACTTAAATATTTGTGCGAAGTTGTCACTAGAATCTTAACAGTTGTAGAAGGACTCTATGGTGAATGTTTTTGGGCTTCTTCAGTTGAAACTTGGCAGGTGCTTTGTCATGGTTCCTATACCAATGACATATTTTTTGTCGAGTCTCTCGCCCGCTCCCTACATGTTTTAAGCACGTTCCATCTCATCTCACAACTCAATGAAGGCTAATGATACTCCAGGAATCTCGAGGATGATTGTGATTATCTGTACAAGTTCCGTCTTGCATTAGAGCAAAGAGCCTTAAGAAGTTATTTGACTAGTCAACATTGAATCGAATCTCGTGACAGCATACCGAATCGCAATGACTTTGCCAATTATACAAATCTACAGGCCTCTACCACAACGCACATGGTGTGTTAATATGGGCAAAAAGCGCACCCAAACCATCGATCAAAGTATACATCTAGTCCTGCCGCAGGAAAGTGACCTGTCCAGAATCCCCATCGAGACCGCACACAGCGCCGAAATCTCCTACTTCCAACCGCCTCCTGTCAACATAGCCCGCAAAATCCCCCAAAGAACAAGACAGCCCCGGCCCGGATTTACAGTATGGCAGCGGCGTTACCTTAAATGACTACTCGTAGGAAGGTAGAGGTATTCCCAGCATCGCTACGAGCACCCTCATCCCCGGACGAGCACGTCATCCGCTCCAGCACGACCCGGCCACCCATGGACATCACCGACGAGGTGCGCCAGACCCGATCCGACACCATATGGGTAACCGGGAGCTCCGGATCATACTTCGGATCCGCCATGACCTCCAACGCCGTCAGAAAGGGCGCGATGTCTCCATCATGCACACTATTTCATCCGAAGTCAGTCTTCAGCCAGGTCTTCACGCTCACAGGACCGCCAACTCACAAACTAAAGAACAACGTCCCAGCGCCGGGCCCCGCCCTCAGAAGACTTGTCGTAGCATTCAGCCAAAGCCACCCCATCGCCCCAGCGTAGGGGTTTCCGGGCCCCGCGCGGTAATAATGCAGCTTGTCGCGCGCATAAGCGAAATGCTCCCAGTCTTCGCGCGTGAACACCGCGCACCAGGGACTCGACCCGCGCACCAGCGTCTCAAACCCGCACATCTCCTGCATACTGTAGACCTCGGCGTTGCTCAGGGACCCCAGCGCGGGGTTTCCTTGCGCGGTGAGTAGTCGCTCCGCGATCGCGGGGATGTAGGCTTGCTGGAACCGCGCGAGCATTTGGATACCATAGTCATAGCCGTGGGCGGCGTCCTCGATGTAGCGGAGGCAGGTTTCCCCGGGAGTGAGGGTGTCGGCGCCGCGGTCGAAGGTCTTGGGGATGACTTCGAGGGTGGCTTTTGCGGAGAATCCTTCTTCGCTGTCTGACGAGGACTCGAAGAACCCGGATGCGAAGTGTCGGGCGGTCTGGATGACGCGGTTGCAGTCGCTGGCCCAGAGCTTGAGTCGCGACTGGTTGCTGGCCAGTATGTGTCTGTAGCGGGTGGAGAAGTGCAGGCCTGTGGTGTGGCTTTGGAGCGTGCCTGCATGGGGAACCGTGGTAGTCAATTGGCCGAAGTCGGTGGATGGGTCGTCGGTGAAATAGGTCCAGTTGTTGAGGAATGAGAGGCTCCCATTCAGTTTGACGTTGGTGTTGTGGATGCGATTGAGGAGCGCATTGTGGCCTTGTATGGTTGTTGTTGTTGCTGCTGTCAGCCTTATACTGCAGTGAGTGGTCTAGCTATGGCGTGAACAAACGTACGGCCTCCGGCTGATCGCGTCGGGTACCGCGCCCCGTGGCGTGACATCTAGTCTGGAGTCAACCGATCTTGTATAAGGAGATCCGAAGGCATATATAAAGTGGAATTGATACCATGTGCACCTGGTCAATGACGCATCCATCGAGGTCGGGCCCAAAGCCCTGCGAGTAATGTATACCGCCACGCTTCTCGATCCAGGGTCCATTGCCCCCCAAGTGATGGAGGATATCCCAGCCGTCGTTCTGAGATTGCGCAGCAGTGCTCAAACCAAGCAGATATCGTGGTATTTGAGACAAGGTGTTCCGACCAAAATGAAGTGTTGGAAGTTAAGAAGAATGGGCCATTGCTCGGACCGAGCCATCTTTCGATAGTAAACAAACCGTCATGGTTGTATATGATGCTGATGATGACGACTATGAATGGGACAAGCAAAGTCTTAAGAGAAAGACCGCGAAGCATGGCCGTTGCAAGCCTCCCCTAGAGACAAGCCTGAGAGGGTGTTGTAGATAGTGAAACCGGCACATGCGACAATCGCCGGGCTGGATTCTTGAAAGATCGACGAGCGGACCCGCCAAGAAGTCCGTTCTATTACCGCAGCGGCCAGTTCTTCATTTGATGTTCATTATGTTCCGATTACTACTGGGATGTGGTTTTCGAATGATATGTACCCTCGGTAGATAGGTAAAATTACATGATATCGTCAAGTGCTATAGACAAACCGAGGACTCTTGTCTCCTAGCTCTTCAATGGCTTCATCGGTCATGCCCGCAACCTTGTCGTCTTCCAAGCCCTGTTGTCTTCGCTTATTCTTGCAGTGATAGTACCACCACATGAGCCCATAGACCACCCCAGCAAAACCAACCAGCGCGAGCGTGACCGCATTGCCTCGAACATAGCGCGGTGCTTCCTCTGTTTTATACAGGAAAGGCGACATGACGCCACTGATGTTGCCAAAGGTCAACTGCAGACCCGTCGCAAACGTCCGCTTCCCATATCGCGGCAGCGTGGTTGGTAGCCATGCAAGCGGCAGCCCCACGGTCACATATAGCCCCAAGGCAATAAGCAGTGCGCCGAAGTAATGTACCCCGGAAGATGAGTCGGAGATCAGAACCCCGTACCCGACCACAGAGATCACAGCGAAGATGCAGACGAATATCGCACGGCGCTGGGTCCGATCGCTGATCCAAGCGACTAGTAGATATACAATGGCGCCAAGCGCATAGCACGGAATGGTCAGGGCCTGAACTTCAGCAGTGGACCACTTGCCCATTCCCTTGATGATTGTGGGCAGAAAAGTGCTGTAGCCGTAGAGCATCGTGTCGACTCCAAATTGGGCAATGCAGAATGCATAGATTCTCCAGTCCAACGCGCCCTCCTTCACATCCGCCCAGTGGAACTTCTGCGCGGACGGAGTCTGGCCGACATGGCGACGGCGCAGACGGACGACCATGGCTTTCTCGTCGTCATTGAGATAGTACGCTGTATCAGGCTCGTCGGCGAGAAAGAACCAGGTCAAAACCCCCAGGATGACGGTGGGAATCCCCTCGATGATCATGATCCATCTCCAGCCCCGTAGCCCCGCGACGCCATCCATGAAGCCAATGCCGTACGCAAGAAGACCCCCGAAGGCACCGGCGGCCGCGGCGCTGCTGAACAAATAACCAGTCCGCAGTGCGATCTCTCGCTTGCTGTAGAACAGCGTGAGATAAGTCATCAATCCCGGAAAGAGCCCAGCCTCGACAACACCTAATGACATGAGCATGAGAATAAAAGCGAGGAGCGAGTGCAGAATACTGACCTAGAAGTAAACGGCAGGCAATCAACCCGCCATAACTTTGCGTGATACCCGTTAAGGTAGCTAAGATGCCCCATATGATTGAGATTGAGGCAATGTACCGCGAGGGCCTGAGTTTCTTGATCACCAAGTTGGATGGGACTTCGAACAGCTTCAAATGATTGTCAGTGGTTGCGTTGAACGATCTGGTCTGTATGGAAACGTACGCAGTAGGTAACAAACAGAATGGATACTGCGACCTGATATTGATTGCCCACTAAGCCTAGATCTTCTTCCATGCCATACAAGCGGGCATTGCCAATGTTAACTGTTGGATCGTATTAGCAAGCGCTTGTAGACCGCCAGGGAAATTAGATAATTCATTTGCACAAGATAGACACACCTCGATCCAAAAAGCTGAATAAGTATAGAAGAACAACGAAGGGGATGATGTGGATGTCTATCTTCCATATCAAGTGGCGTGCCCCTTTTTCGTCTGACAGCGATAAGTCCGATCTATCGTCGCCATCTACGCCCAACGATGCCCGTGTTGGGGATTGTGCTTCGGCATCTGGCTTGGGCTCTCTGTTGTAATCCATGGGGGGTGGTAGTGGCGATGATGACTGCCTTGGCTGTGACCCCCGCAGGTTTGTCTGGGCGCTCAGATGAACTTCCCCGTGGGGTGATCTACAACAGCACCATGTATCAGAATGCAGTCGAAGGTATCGCACCTCTTGTATCAAAGAAGGAGAAGAAGTCCACGTACACTGACAGCCGTCACACCCACTACGTTGTAAGTGAGGGAAGGCAAAAAATGCCCTAAGAAAAAATGAGAGATTTCTAATCGCAGTGGCCAAGGATCGCCAAGGATCTAGACCCAATGTTTCTTTCCTTTTTTCTTCTGCAGTTCAGGTGAGCAGATCGAGGATAGTTCATTCAGAGGGCTAATGTGAGTGTCATTTTTCCATGGCATGAAATCAATAGCATGAACAGGATTAGTATTGGGTGGGTGTTGTTGGTGATGCGTCTTAAAAGACCCTGAGCTGGATCGTCCCTCATCAAACTTAAAATGGATGGCGATTTGCACCAGCTCCATGGCTCACCACACGGGCCAACATTCTTGGCAATGCAAGGATGCAATAGTCAGAACCTGCATAATGATGATGCAAATGCCCACAAGGAGTAAAAGCAATCGGTTGCAGATGATCAGATCTGCACTCGACACTCACTAGTGAGGACGTCACTGCGATGCGCCTGAAAAATCAAAATTCCATTTCACTTGATAGCCTCTGTCCCGAGAAGGATAATTGTATCGTGACCCTAGGCGGGAAAATCACGTACTTGTAGGAGCTATAAGCAGCCATAGCCTCAAGTCAAGTCGTTGGTAAGCAAAGATTGCTTTCCGAAGCCCTGGAACAAAACTTGCACCAAACTTCGAGAGTTCAAATGACTCGAATGAGGAAGATGATGCCAGCCCGATCCAGAGCATGTACTGTACCTAGGAAAGACTGGCCATTGGCTCGTTTTATACGAATGTAGCACGAGTGTTACTCCATTGCATCGATCTTACATTCCATCGAATGCTGTAGACAAGAGAATAGAGTGAACAGTGCTTCAAGCGGCGAAAATAGAGACTCCTGAGCTGTCACACTCATCGGATCCCAGCGGCGTTTCTAGTGATGAAGTTGCTGTCACTCTTACAACCGAGTGTCAACACGCGGGCTTCTGAGCTGGCCCTGGCTGCGCACCCACGGGCCTCTGATATCTGTTTCCATCTCGCACGATAGAGCTCCAATGATGCGGAATGTACACCTCCGGCTGCGATGGACCAATAAACTACTCGGACTATGGTGATAGGTCGACATTCAAGACGTCAAACCGAGAGCCATGATCGAATAAGATGCTCTGAGAAGTGTTGATGACAATTCAGTATGTGGTGCGGTTATCATATATCTGATAGTCAACAATGAGGTTCCTGGATTTTGAAGTGACAAGTTGAACTTTCGTCAAGATCACCCAAGCTTGTTCAAACGAGCTGGAATTCGTTTCAAAGTGGATGAGTCAGTAGCTCGTGCGCGCCATCGATTTAGATTAACATGACATCAAAGATCATCCTGCGTATTTAGCATCATCTCTGCTCTCTTGTCATTTCAAGCAGCGTTGATATAGTTGAGGATCACAGCTTAGGTCGATCTGAGGAATTCAGGCTGAAGTACCATCGCCGTCGCCCAACATGTCTCAAACTTATGGGAACTACCAGTTCGAGATCTACTCTGAAGGAGCCACCTCAGGCGTCACTCCTACCGTCACCACAGATCCTCACCAGCTTGAAGAACAGGCAAAGACGGCTTTGGAATTCAGTAATTTCACATATCTTGCGGGTGGAGTAGGAGAAAAAGCCACGATGGGCAGCAATCAGTTGCCAATTCGTCAATATTAGATGTTAGGTCTATTCTCGTGCAACTTGGATGTCGAATTACTGAAACAGTATCATACTAGAGTCTCAAGTGTTGAGGCAGGTTAGCTGAGGATTCACATATCTTTGGTCATATGCAGGTTGCTCATATCTTATAGATGGAAGACCAGGATATCTCAGTGAATCTTTTCGAAGAGGAATAATCCGATCCTCTTCTTGTGGCGCCTGTTGGTGTGTAATCAATATTCCACGAAGACAAGGAGACCAGACCTGCAGAGACATGTGGGAAGATTGGGGTCCCGTATATCCTTAGCACAGCGAGCAGCAGCTCGATTGCTGATACAGCGAAAGCCAATGGCAACAGAAATCGATGGTTTCAGCTGTTTTGGCCAATGGACGACAATACCACACTTTCCTTGTTGATACGTATAAACGGCTTGGGTGTCCTTCTAATCAATCTGGATATATGGTCACTCGCTTGGTAATCTCCCAACCTGGACAATGCCTATGTGCCATTCATCAAGGGAATAGAAAACGAGATCAGCGTCACCGACCCAGTATTCCGCGCCAAATTTAGAGAGGAATCGGGCTTGAGAATCGAAGAAGACATTATGGGCGCATCGAGATCATGAAGCTCGCGAATATTCTCCGGTGCCCCATACACTTGAGATCAGCTTGGCTTTTGTGCGGAAGAACTTGGAGGGTCCGCCGCTCCTGAAGGGAATTCAGCATGTGGATGATGTAAAGCTTGCCGTGGAGGCGGGATTCGAAAGGGTGCAGGTCTCGTCAAAGCACGCTGTCTAGGAGAAAAAGCAGTTTTGATTGGCGAGCCAGTCATTGACGGGTTGGATAAGGATGGGAAGAAAGGAGCAGAGATTGTCATCAGAGGGCTCTTGGCGGATGTCTAGCAAAACATGGGACTATCGGGGATTCGGTCTATGGCGGAGTGCTACGGAGTACCGCGACAAGATCCGGGGGATGATGGGGCACGCTATGATGTCAGAAAGTCAATCGTAGTCTTAATATTTTCTTGAATGAGAACATACCAGGTGGTACAATGAAGTGTGTTTACTTGTCGAGAGTTTGCGAAGACCGATTAGATCAAGATTGATTGTTTGTTCAAGGCAGAGGTACCTTACAGTACCGGTGTTGCGCTAAGAGGAAGAGCCGGAGGATCACATGTCAATGCCGGCATAACCCCTTAGGAAGTGATTGGTTCTATCATGGATCCATGATTGCTTCTTCCCAGTCGCCACTTGCGCCCAAAATCCAGGTCACAATTCTGGCCTTTTCATCAACCAGGAACCCCTCCCCCCGCGCAAGATTCGATGTTCTGTTCTACCAAAAGAAACTTCTATTAAACTTTAAGTTCCTGCGACAACTGCCGCGCGACTTTCTCTCTTTCTCACCCTTAAGTATTCGACTTTTTGCCCATGGCTGAATCGATTTTAACGGCACATCGGTCAAAGCGGGTCAATTCGACTGCGATTCTGATGGGTTGAGATGTCTAGACTCTTCAGTCTACGGAAAGCATGGAAACGGGATGATATCGAGCAGGCATACGAGCAAGTCGGTCGCGAGGATGACACCCGCCATGTTACAGCCACGTCCGGCTTGCCTCTCCTTCCGAGACCGCTTGCATCTATGGTATCGTTCATGACTCAGTCCACTTCCCTATCTCTCCGGATAGGGTCATTTGTCGGAGGCGCTGCGATAGATGGTGCGAGAACCACGACATTGACCGGGCTGGAGCTCAGCAGAGCAATACTAGAGGGAATTTTGACAAGGGCTGGGCGCGATGTTGTCATCAGGAGCAACGGAGAGTATGGCAAGGCAGAAGCAGAGTCATTACTCGAACGGAGTGTAAGTCGTCGGCATTGTCGTGTTCATACTCATCAGACTGACAGTCGATTTAGCTGGCTACTTTGCATTCCACAATAACCTCGGCATCTTTTTTCGCCGCTGCCTCGTTCCATCTCTCCTCAGCTACACTTTCATCAGCAGCCAACATGTCTCAGTCACTACTTTCCACACTCGATGCAACACTTGGCTCTACTGAATCGTCCAGGGCTATTGCCGCAATCGTGACTCTCTTCCGGAGCGAGCTCAGAGACCTCAACGATTCCGAATTCGGCACTGAACTGCGAGCTGGAAGAATTGGTGTCGCGGATCTGTTGGTTGGCTGTGTTGGATTTGCGCTGCTCCAGCGCTGGGGCCGGAAGAACACAGAACGGCATGCACGTGGAGTCGGGGGTATGGAATCCGTATGGGATGTGGTTATCCTGGACAATGGCGTGAGAGCAGATGTTGTTGGTACACATCAAATGGAACAGCCGAGGGCTGCCATTGATGACCTGCGTGATGAGATGAATCGTTCATCATTCATGAGTACTGGGAACGATGAAGAAGACTTCGATGCTGTACAGCGACCAGCAAGCATTGCTGATACCGCAGAAAGGTCTCACTTCTCTCTTCCCACCGAGAACTCGCATCAAATATCTGACGATGATATCCGCTTGTACATCATGAGACAATTGCCTCAGGGTTGCCGTGCTTCTATAAGGACCGACCTGGTACATGCCAGGACTATCACGGTTGAAGTATTTGATGATGACGTTGGAGAAATAGCTGCTCCACCAGGCACAATGATGGTTGAGGAGAGACACCATGATAGTAATCTTTCCAGATCTTCCATCCAGGGTCAGCTTCCCAAACATACGATGGTCTTCAGGACCGCCTTCACCAGGTCTAACAATGCCGATGTGAGACCAGCCAGTCACCAAGAAAGCATGGCATGGCCGGCGGGTGACGAATGGGAACTTTCCCAGTCGCATCGAAACCTCGGGGATCAGTCGTTCGCCACGATAGGAAACAGTCTTGACGAACCATCAAATGATAGGCTAGTGACCACAGAGCAGCTTTCACCGGATGATCACTTAGAGGATCCCAATACCAGTAAAGCTCGAAGTGTCAACTTGAACCCTGTCAAGCTTGATCGAGGGAACTCAGACCCCTCGTCTCTCGATAAGCGAGCAGCCACATTTAAAGATAGTCCTGCGAAGTCTCCTCTCGCGAGAGGAGCGCAAAGGGTCAAGTCTAGCAATATCAATAAAAGGGATATTGGCAAGCGCCCGTCCACGAAGCCTACTGCAGAGAAAGTAAAATCCTCACCGTCGTCCGAAAACGCGATTCCACAAGGGAGACCGCTCAAGGGAGCAGCAACCGCGCGAAAGACATCAGCACAACAGAGTACTACCAAATCCGACCGCAGCGGGGCTCACGAAGCAGCAGCAGCGACATCACCAAAACGTGGACCATCGTCACCTGTAGCGAACAGAGGTTTGCCCAGAACGCCATTGCAAGAGCATCGTGTGAAGCCCGCGGCTTTTCCAAAGACGGGCCGTTCTGAGGCCCGCGATGGTAGTCACATAGGCAATTCAAGAACGGAGTATTACGCCATACGCGAAAAGTCAGAGGAATCTCTTGTCAACCACACGAAAGCCTATGCTCAAGATCCACCAAACACACGACCCGGGTCCCCTGTCACGAGAAGAACCCATGTGCGTAGTAGCAGTTCTCTGTCACTGACTAGGTCGGAAAGTGATGTGACCATCTACATCAATAAGGATGGCCGTCCCAACTCCTCTATGTTGCACCATCACCCACGAGCCTCATCCCCGAGCATATACTCTCTTGCCACAGCGGGGTCTGAGACATCACTTTTACTCGCTCATCGTCCTCGGAAAAGTGCTTATGATGAGATAGAAGCACTTCAAAGCTTGATCCGGGATGGCACCGTGCCCGGCATCTTCCCTGCAAAGCACTTTGTGCAGAACATCAGACGTTTTTGCAGATTCTCCTCGGCTTCATATGGATCGCATGCCCTGAAAGTCATGGGTGTTCCGCGACTGACTAGTGCACTACCCGCCGAAGAGGTATGTAGCCCGGAACATAGTGATTTCTCTGATCACACAGGCTTGCCAGCTTCCACGATCCTCCTGTCCTCCTTCGTCGACTCTGCAGGTGGCACGAACGCCGCAGGGGAAACGGAAAGCGGTATTCCTCTCGTACACTACCTTTTCCTGGACCATGAATCGAAAGCAGTTGTTCTGACTCTTCGAGGGACATGGGGCTTCGAAGATATTCTGACCGACATGACTTGCGAGTACGATGACCTTGAGTGGCAAGGTAGGAATTGGAAAGTCCACAAAGGAATGCACGCCTCAGCCAAGCGTCTTCTGATGGGGGGAGGCGGCCGAGTCATGTTGACAATCCGAGCTGCACTCGAGGAGTTTCCAGAGTATGGGCTGGTACTGTGTGGACATTCGCTCGGGGGAGGCGTTGCTGCACTCCTTGCAACAATGATTTCTGAACCCAGCAGTGATGCTTTTGGGGCATCATTTACGACCACTTCCTATCAGACCACGAACATGGGTTCATCTGATAGCGACGAACAGTCCTTTGGCAAGGCCTTCTTTGTGCCCCCCGGCCGGCCTATTCATGTCTATGCATACGGTCCTCCCGCGACAATGTCGCCTTTCCTGCGTCGCGCAACGCGGGGATTGATCACTACCATCGTTAATGATCAAGATGTGGTTCCTTGTCTCTCGCTCGGCATTTTGCATGATATGCATACAGTAGCTGTAGCGTTCAAGGGTGACATTGCTGGCGCTCGCTCCCATGTGGGATTTCGAGTTTGGGAAGGCCTCAGGCAAAGCATTGTGAACAAGTTCTACGTCAACGAGCCGCCTATCCTCACACACGCCGGTCATGGCGTAGGAGAAGATGCGTGGGCATGGAATACATTGAAGACGCTTCGTGAGGAAATGAGTGCGCCCAAACTGTTACCACCTGGTGAGGTGTTTTTGGTGGAAACAATGAGGGTTTTGCAGCGAAACGCTTTCACATCTGAAGTGAGCAGTGATGGCCACCCAGTGTTAGGTCGGCCTGCAACCAGAGCACAGCTGACATTTGTTCGAGATGTTGAAGCCTCTTTTGGAGAACTCAGGTTTGGCTCAGGAATGTTCAGTGACCACAACCCAGCAAGATATGAAGCAAGTCTTGCTGCACTTGCCCGGGGAATTTTGGATGAGTGATAATTTTTTGACCTTATGCCTACAACATAAAGTGGTGCTTATATGATCATGTATTAATGGAGCCTCGAGATACCGGTTCCGTTTGGTCTTCTTTGTTCTTTGCTAGGTAGTGGACGGGAGAAGAGTGATCATGTACAGTCGAATACTAATTTTGGAATAAACCCTGCAATCTCATGATATCGCAGCTTCAAATGTTTAGTTTCCACAATATTCGAGACTCTCCCGTAAGCCCGTAAGATGCTCAAGAGCAGCCCTGACAATGCCACCCATGGCATGAGAGCCGACATTGAATACAAGAATTGCATGGCTCAACTTGTATTCAGCGAACGATGAATAGCTGGTCCGAGGTTGGTCTCTTCAGTTCATCTTGTGTTCGATTCCCACTCAGAGCATCTCTTCTCTATTTGGAGACTGTTCGTTCACGCATGTCTTTGTATAGTTAAGACAGCTCTGAAGTCACCAACAGGGGCCTGGCGAAATTCGCTCACCGCACCGCCCCCGACGTAAGGGAAGATACAGACAGCCCAGAAGGATCCTGCGCCATAGGGCTCCGCATGAGGTGACGATCAACCGCCCGAACATTGGTCACTTGAATGCCAGTCATTGATATAAGGCTAGCAAGTAGTAATCGAGTGAAGACACTGGGTGGTGATATTATCCTTTGGAGCTCGCATTCTTTCTTACTCGACTCTTCACCTATTATGAGGCGGCTCCTTCTTCGGCTCACTGGGTTGTTTCCGAGTTCTTTCTTCGATTTTAGCTTCCAGATTCTGAAGCTGCTTTTCCACGAGTTCCTTTTTGGCCATCAAGTTTTCTCGCATGCCTCGGAGCCCGGTGATTCGCTCATCGATCGTCGGCTCAAGTGCCTTTTGTTCTTGGACTTTCTGCAGATGAAAGAGATCATTAACAAAGAGATTTCCATGATCGAGATGGAGTCAGAGACCATACCTGTTGGAATTGGTGTTGAGATTTCTGTGAGGCGCCAAAAAGAGTACCGGAAATAGTGATACAAATCACGGCGCCTGCTAGGGTAGCTCGTGGGATATCTTTCGGCAAGCGAAACATGTTGAAGCTTCGAGCACTTTCACACTTTGCGCTAAAAAGGAGTTGCGATTGACTTCGCCGTCGATTGGTGAACAAAGCTGTCGCAAAAACCCACGAAATCACGAAGAAGAGGGGGGCGAAGGCGGAGGATAGCAGGTCGATACAACAAAGAGCTCCGAAGTCCCCGACCGGCGGAAGGGTGTCAAAGGTCGACGCTAAACTCAAACGGGGCTAGATGGGCAGGTCCAGAGTTTCTTTGTTCCCCTCCAACTCGCGTCGCGTCCGCCCGCGTGCCCAGACTGTATCTTTCTTTATCACCGTTCCCATATCACTAAGGCGGTGTCAACAATCAAAGCTTCCTTTCCTCCCTTCTTCCCCCCTCCCCCCCCGCCCCTCCAAATGCGCCGGTGGTAATCGCACGGCGTGCTCGCCATTTATCGAAATGCCTTCCGGACGGTCCGTTCCTCGCCGTCGCACCCGGTCGGAAGAGGAGGACGAAAGCGATGATGCGTCCTCTTCCTCCGGATCGCCTCCAAACAATTCAAAAGCTCGATCCTCAAACCCGAATAAGCGCCGCAGACTAAGCAAGGACGATAACGATCAGCCTGATGAGGACTCCGAACGCTCTGCCAGTGAATCAGGCGACGACTCAGGAGCCGAATCATCCTCCTCGGACTCAGCTACCGTAAAGCCGACTCCCCGAAACTCCAACACGAGCCAGCGCTCTAAATCGAGCACACAAACCGCTCGACAGAGTCAAGAAGGACCAGAGGACGCTTCCAGCGAGGAAGAGGATGACTCCGATGGATCTGAGGCAGCGGGAGATGGTATTGAGGGCGATAGCGTACCAGATCCCACTCAGGCCGGCGGCGCGGATGGTACCCAATCTCCTGAGACCAGTGCAAATGAATCGCAACCTGCCGATTTGAACGAGACGACACCAGAAGGCTACAAACCCGGCGCCATCGTTCGCATCAAAGTCACCGATTTTGTCACTTATACATCGGCGGAATTCTACCCAGGCCCGAAACTGAATATGGTCATCGGACCCAATGGGACTGGAAAAAGTACACTTGTCTGTGCGATATGCTTAGGACTAGGATGGGGACCGCAGGTACGAACAACTATTATGAAATCTCTCCATTGCTTATGGGCGTTTCTAATCAGCCTCTACTTCTTAGCACCTCGGGCGCGCCAAGGATCCTGGCGAATTCGTCAAGCACGGCTGTCGAGAAGCTATCATCGAGATCGAGCTTGCAGGCGGAAAGCGCTTTCGTCGCAACCCCGTAGTGTCTCGGACCATCAAACGCGATGGCAACAAAAGCACCTTCACGGTCAACGGGAAGCAGGCTTCCCGTCAGCAAGTGCTGAAACTCGCCCAGTCCTTCGCCATTCAGATTGATAACCTTTGCCAATTCCTTCCGCAAGACAAGGTCAGCGAATTCGCCGCTCTCACGCCCATCGAACTCCTCAACTCGACACAGAGAGCTGCGGCGGGTGACGAAATGGTCGAGTGGCATGAGAACCTCAAAAGTCTGAGAGCTGAACAGAAAAAGCTGCAGGCAGACAATCAGGGCGATAGAGATCTTCTAGCGAACCTTGAGGACCGACAAGAGATGCAGAGAGCTGATGTGGAACGGATGCGCCAGAGAGCTCAGATCAAGCGAAAGATTGAGATGCTGGAAATTGCTCGCCCGGTCACGCAGTACACGGAGCTTCATACCCAGTTCAATGAAATGAAAAGAGAGCGTGATGTGAAGAATCAAGAATTGGCGGGTCTTGAAAGAGAGCTTGAACCTGCTTTGAGGTCCCTGAATGAGAGGCAGGACTACTGTGTTAAACTGGATGATGTCATAAAGCACAGAACGCAGGCCTTCGAGACTGCGGAAAAGAAGGCCTCCACTGCTGCTGCGAAGATTGAGCAATTCGAAGCGCAGTTCAAGGATCTGGATGACCAAGCTGAAGCTGAGAAGAGAAGTGGGCAGAGTCACAGGCAGAACATCAGCAAGATTCAGCAGAATTTGAACAAACTCCGGCGTTCTTTGCAAGAGGAAGAGCCTGCAGCTTTGGATTTGGACTCCTACAACGAGAGAATTGTGAGTATGCTGAGGCAAATCTAGGCTCACTTGCTAATATCAAATAGCGGGAGAAACGAACGGAGATCAGAGAAATCGAGGCGCAGGCAAACAAACTCAAAGAAGAGAGACGGCCTCTTCTAGAAGCACACAAGCATGCAGCGGATCAGATAAGGGAGGCAGAGGGACAGCTCAAGAATCTCGATTCTCAAGCTGGCCAGCAGGAATCAAAGCTTGAACGCATATCTTCGGATTCTGTCAAAGCTTACCGATGGCTACAGGAGAATCAGGGCCGGTTTGAGAAAGAGGTCTTCGGGCCTCCAACTCTCACCTGTTCAGTCAAGGACCCTGCTTACGCCCACGCTGTCGAATCGTTGCTACAACGCACGGATTTCACTGCATTCACTACGCAAACCCGAAATGACTTCAGGACGTTGCAGAAAGCCCTGGTTGAGCAGAGGCTCTCAGACATCAGTATTCGTACCTGCTCTATTCCCCTAGATAGTCTTCGCCCATCCATCCCCGATCAGCAACTCAGGGGTCTTGGATTTGATGGATGGGCCAAAGACTTCTTGAGCGGACCGGACCCTGTGGTAGCCATGCTGTGTAGCGAAAATCGCTTGCATCAAACACCTATAAGTCTTCGGGATATCAGCGATGAGGAGTTCACGCAGATGCAGAATGGACCCATAAGCTCCTGGGTGGCCGGGAAGCAAACCTATGCTGTGGTCCGGCGACGGGAGTATGGTCCCAGTGCAACTTCCACTCGAGTGAGACCGGTCAAACCCGCAAAGATTTGGACTTCGCAGCCGGTGGATGAATCTGTGAAGGAAGACATAGTGCGGAGGATTAAAGCACTCGAAGATGAGGCAAGCGAGCTACAGGAGAGGATGAATGGTGATAGAGCCAGACTCGCTCAGCTAGGTAAACGATATGAGGATATTGATAACGAGAGGGTAAGCAGTAACATCGTGCGTTTTGCTACTACCTTCAGTGCTGATTTTGGCCTCGTACAGAGACAACTCGAGCAGGAGAAAGGCGAGAAGCAAACGGCACTTACAAACTGGAGAGCGATTCCGGAGAGAATTAGTAAGTAAAGACACGTGCGAGATCGGTGCTGGTTAAGATGCTAATTCGATTAAAGACCAGGAGGAACGCAAACAGAGGGAGATCCAGGGAATGATTGATGAGGTGAGGTCGAGGGTCAAGGGAATCCGCGACCAACAAGCCCAAGTATCGATCAAAAAGGCCGAGACTGCTATCGAATATGCGGTAGGTTTCGAGACGACCCTCGAAAATGCACAGCATTGCTAATAGGCGGCAGACTGCGGTCAATGTTCTCCATCGACTACACGAAGAACTCATCAAAATCAAGATCCGACACATCGAAGGCATCTCCGATCTCGAGGCTCTCAGGGCGCGCAACGTGCAGCACCAGGAGAGGCTGAATGCAAAGCGCGACGAAGTGAAGGCTGCCCAGCAGCAGATTAAGGATACCACGGAACGAATGAAGAAGCTGTACAAGGAAGCGCAAAAGATCCTGGCAAACGCTAGCAGACAACCCGATCTAGCTGAATTTATCCCCACGCTGGCCAACCACACCACCGATCAGCTCGATGCGGACATCGATGCCGAGAAGGCACGCCTCGAGCTCACCCACGGTGGCAACAGCGGCGTAATCAAGGAGTTCGAGGAACGGGCTCGTCAAATCGACAAGCTGCGCAGCAAGCTCTCCGATTTCGACAACAAGCTTGCGGACTACAACCACGCGATCAACGAGATTCGCGGCAAGTGGGAGCCCAAGCTCGATCGCATCATCAAGAGCATCAGCGATGCCTTCTCCGACTCCTTTGCTCGCATTGGCTGTGCCGGCCAGGTCACTCTGGACAAGGCCGAGGAGGAAACCGGCCCCCACGGCGAGGCGGCCGACACGGACTTCGACCAGTGGTCGATCCAGATTCACGTGAAGTTCCGCGAGCATGAGAACCTGTCCCTGCTGGACGCCCACCGGCAGTCCGGCGGCGAACGAGCCGTCAGCACGATCTTCTACCTCATGGCACTCCAGTCGCTGTCCGCCTCGCCGTTCCGCGTCGTCGACGAGATCAACCAGGGTATGGACCCCCGGAACGAGCGCATGGTCCACGGGCGCCTGGTCGACATCGCCTGCGCTCCGTCTGAAAGCGGCGGCGGCGGCCAGTACTTCTTGATCACCCCCAAGCTCCTGAGTGGATTGACCTACAAGCCTGGCATGCGGGTTCTTTGCATCTACAGCGGAGAGCACATGCCCGAAGACTACAACGTCCTTAGCTTCGGCGAGGCGATTAACAAGATGAGAGCCGTGGCCGGCCGTACTAAGGGCAAGGGAAGGGCGATCGACGGGGTCCGAAGCAATGGGGACGTCGGAGTCTACGGTTGAATTATCCAAAACGCTTCACTTCGTTCCCGTCTGTGGCTTGTATGTTTGGATAGGGGGGTTTCTTACATCGTTTCTTGCGGGAGTTTGACTCACTTGTGATACCTTTGTTTTATTTGGGTAGGTCAACGTTACGAAGCTGGGAAGAGGCTATGATGGATATTCTAGCAGAGGGCAATCTTGCTTATTTTCGGATGTACATGACAAAACATAAGAGAAAGGTGGGACTCAAAACAGGGACCTTGCATAATTGTTGCCATTTGCAGAACCAAAAACTAGTTACCCTCAAAGAGTTCTTCTTCCTAGGGAAACTAGGAGGAGCTTTATCACAGGGATGTAAGCTCGCTAGCTACATCATGGGATCCGAGACTACATTCCGCTGCCGACCTGTAAGATCTATACATGCTTGAATGCGGTCAAGAAGTATCAGGGCATAGAAACCGTTTATCTAGGACGATATACTCCCGTACTCAACCTCTTTCTCCTTCCTCACCCTCCTCAAAGCCTTGAATGAGCACCTAGTAACAAGCCAGGCTCGTAAGAATCAAACTGAGTTCTCATCTCTCCCAATTCTGTCGTTGATCTTCTCGGGCAATAGTCGAGACTAATCACACAAGTCGTCTTTTCGACTCACCCTATCTGACAGGTTCCATGGTGTATGGAATTGTTCTGATGTTCCAGACTCGCTACAGTCACAGTTTGAATTTATCCCTTTGAGTCCACATGGGACGTGCTCTCTAGCAGATGTCGAGATGGGAAGGATAAACCCTCCCCGCGCACACAGAATACAACGATACAACAACAGGGAAAAGGATTTGGAATTCCAGGTTTTCCAGAAAGCACTTTTCCAACCGGCCTGGCTTAGCACCGGGGTTATCCCTGCATATCGGCAAGTGTATACATGCCTGCACAGATGTGATTGCGTAGAGCCTTTGAAAAGAAGAAGAAGATGCATACTGTAGACATGCTTTCATTCCTTCTCCTTTTCCTTGTCCATCGGTTCATAGGGGATTCTACATTGCCGTTTCTCGTCAAGCTTTAGGCTGTGTTGAATCAATACACGCGTCTAACCGGGTCTTTTCCCATCAGCTGCACGATGCCTGTTATTGTTATTCGGCAGATGTATACTGTGAGTATATCCCCAAATACTATACCTCCCCACATGGTATGCACATGACAAGCCAGTGATCACCAATAACATTATATCTCGATCGGAAAAGGAGGATTGGCACAGCCCAGCCGCAACCGCTCCATCGAGATGCACAACTACATCATTATTATTATATCCTCTCGCTCAGCATCTCCCAATTGATCATCCGGTGAACAACAGCAAAGCAAAAAAGTAAGAGCTTGCAGAAGACCATCAGGAAAGATCATCAGCCATCCCACATCGTCCAGCCTGATCGCCTCCCTCCCGGCGCATCAGATTTAACTTTTCTGGTTGCTGCTTCATGCACCTAAAAAAATTGCCCGGATCGAAAAGACGGCAATTGCATTATAAAACCAAGCCAAATTGTCATTCAATGTTTCCATTCGGCCTGAAGGGTATGAGCACAGACTGGACTGGAGTATAACAGACAGAGTTTTTGGGATCCCCGCAGTGGGACTACAGTACATGTTATTTGACGATGTCAGTCATCACTTGCTATGTTGAATTCTTCCCCTTCTATCCACTGTATTACATATCTCCATTTAATAAGGATCTGTATGCGATAGCTCAGTCTTAGTGTGAATTGGTAGGTAACTTAGCCAATACAATTCCTAGATAGAGTGACAAAGTCCCCAGCAAGATCAAGCGAAGACAAACCAGGCGAAAGCAGGCCCCGAGGATGATCACCCGGGGATGATTGGTGATCTGATCGCCCATCTATTTCTTTTTTTCCAACTGTCGTTTCCCCCGCATCATCCACTGTCCATGCACTTTCTCTTCTTACCTTACCTATAGCATGAGTACAACCCGATAAATGCTTTTTGGTTCGGCGGGTTTGGACCCAATTTTCCAATCTTCTGGTCTTCTTTTCTTTCTTCTTTTTTAAAACTATTGATAGGATTTGACAAATCCCCAGCTGTAGGTTCCCGTCAGAAGTGTCGGGAAATTCCGCTGTGGTGATTCAAATAATCCATCCATCATCAATTTGTGTCTTGCACTGCATGCATGCATGCATGCGTTGATCCATCACCAAGGAAAAGGGTAATCAAATGCGATCAAGTAATACAAATAAATCAGTGAGACAGAGCAGAAGGCACGCAAAAAGGAAGTGATCTCTGCAAAGCAGAAGAAGCAAACAAAAGGCGGGAGCAGATGATGAAGAAACATACTACCCACATCGATGCAACAATAGCTACTATTACTACCTACTCAAGAGTAAACAATCCCAACCAACCCAACAACCAACCAACCAGTCCGCCTATGATGATGATGATGATGATGCAAGTCACCTTTCTTCACCTGCAAGTCCGTTAGTGAAACAACCTCCATTCACACTCTAATGTTCATCCACAGCCACAGCCGTGGAGAAAAGCATCCACGTAGTATAGTGGTTACAGATGACTTCCCAACAAGCAAAAAGCAAACCTGAATTTGAAGGAACCGTTGTCGAGTTACTGGAAAACCAGAAGGCGCACGCATATTGGATTCCAACCTCGACCAGTCCAACCCGCGCCCCGCCGTCGGAATTGCAACCAAAACCCTCGCCTGCACTCAGTGCTTGAACCTATCCCTATCCCAAACCCCATACCTATAGAATCATCCAATTTCCTCGAATAGACTCTCGTCTAGAGCCGCGGAGGGGCGTTAAGTTTTCTGTTCTGTCTCGTGCATGCTGCTGCAGCAGCAGCAGAAGATTATCAAAAATCTGGAGGATGATATCAGAAGTTCAACAGTCCCCCGGGGCCCGGCCCCAGCCCCGGCCCCAGGGCCTGCAGGTAGTAGTTACAGTACATCCATACTCATACGTCCGGTGTATGTGCTGGCTATACAGTAGTCTGAGTCCTGTACTCCGTCCTCCAGTCCGAAATCCACCAGAATCAAGCGCGGATCGACACGACCATCGCCTCGATCGGGTGTGCGGGGAGAAATCCGTGATTGGTGCAATATTCTGCGAAGAAGAATCTTTGTTCACCTATACCCTCCAAAGCCATCCCGCCCCGTTGGGAAACCATGCTCCTCCAAGAATGATTTCATGATCGCGTACCCGTCTGCAGTGCAAATCTCATGCGTTTCTGTCAGGGAAAGGGGCAAAGAGGAGGGGGCGGGCGATCCGGAGTCGCCGAGATTGAGGGGGAGACAGATGACCAAGGACGGGGTAATGGATGAGGGGAATACTCGAGTACTGTACTCCATACATTGAAGCAGGTGGTTACTAGTACTTGAGTACTTGGTGATAGGGCTAAACGATAAATGTGGAGATTTGTGGAGGACTTCTATACTTCATACATAGTATATGTTCGTTTAGAGTTGGTTGTTGTGTTGAGTTCTGACGGTCTGGGTTTCACGGTAGGTCAGTCCTGGGTTGAGAAATCTTTTCCATACAATGGGTTTCGTAAGGTGGGCATTTTGACGTCGAGGTGGTGGTCTTGATGTCGTGGTAAGAACTAGGTCTACTTCAGACTTTGCTGATGATGTACTGTACAGTCAATCCCCCTCCCGTCCTCTCTACCTCGTTGTAAAACTACACCGACCAGAGCAGAATATTCTAGTTCGTGGCAAACTTCTGGCTTGCGTCGTACGCAGCTTTGTACTCATACCGAATCCTATGATATAGTTCTTACTGATTGACGGCTTATCCACCAACCAACCAATCTGTCCATATATTGGGGGAACGAAACGGGAGAAGGGAAGGGGGGGGGGGGGGGCAAGGGCTATAGTATGTCTCGAGTATAGAGGCATAACTTAACACCTCAAGATAGTACGTGTAGCAAGGGCCAGCCTCAGCCCCCTTCCCCCAGCCAACGTGGCGAGCCCCAGAGGAGAGTTATCTCCGTCAAACTCAACGAACCGTCTCCCGTGCGGAATGGGAGGTTGTCATCACGTTTCCAAGGTAAAGACTGAGGTCGGGACAGTGATCGATGAGCGGCGCATGCCGTGCATGCTGTCTAGAGCCTGGCCAGAGGAAAAATTAACTTCAACCACAACAAGGGCCAGTTCTTGTTTTTGGACTGACCTGCCTTGTCAGTCAGAAACAGTGTGCAGTGCTTCCATGACGTGAAGTCGGATTGTTTTGCTGGGGGGGGGGCGATGTTCAAAGCGCATGCATGGACCGGACTGGACGAGACTAGATGTTGGTCGATATGGCGCCACCGTGACCCTGCTTCCCGGGAGGTCAACGATAATCAAGGCACTGGTACGACGAAAACCCGGAGTCTCGGGTCCGTCTAGATGGGGGAGGTCCATCTATCTGCCCACGGCAGTATCTACTCCGTACCCTTGTCGACAAGGCGAGGAACGGTTGGAGGGTGACGGTGGGAGGGGCCCGATCCGATGGGGGGAGAGGACGGGGGGAGAACAAGATGATTCTTACACCAAACCGAAAGACTTGGTCACTGCTGGCATTGTCCTCCTCCTCCTCCTCCTCCTCCTCCTCCTTCTCCTCCCCTCCACCGCGTCATGGGCTGGCTGGCTGGCTGGCTGGCTATCATGAACCCGGAAAGGTGGATCAGCCAACGATCATGGAATTGGCTAGTCGAGGCGAGCAGATGGCAATCCCAACATGGTTTAGTCGTGGATTTTAGTACCAACGGCCTGCCCCCCTTTCCCCTCCCTCCTCTCCCCTCTTTGTGTTTAGACAGACAGAGAAACGATCGATAAGCGAGGACACTAACTGTGGTAGTAGTCTAGCACGAGGAGAAACAAAGGAGGAGAGAGGGGGCTTGCTTTAGTCTAAGAACCAGATAGGGTAAAAAGATAACGGCGGGAATCTTTATTGAGTAGGTCAACAAATTCGACATGGAATAAATTGGAAATGGTAATAGCCCGCTGCCCCGTCACAATGGCACAGGCAGGCGTAAGCTGCAACCAAAGAAGCCCGCCGTCACCACCGGTCTGTTACCCGCTCTCTCTGTCTCTCTCCACTTCTGGAGTTACTCGGTGTTGCGTTACGTAGCGAAGCGATGTCACTTTTCTTGTTGCCCTCGTCGCTAGATACAACGTCGGAGTAGAGGAGGGTTACAGTGAGTGAGTTAGCGGACGATCCCACCTCCCATCCCTCTTCCTTCCATGGACTGGACGACAGCGACACGGGACCCTGAGCCAATGCAGGCAACCCGGTCGATCAAGGACCAGGCAAAAGCCAACCTCATGCAGCGAGGATCGAAGGAAGCGCGGCCGATTGTAGCCGTGGTGGATGTATGCTTAGGGAAAAGTTACTCCGAAGACGGACGTGCACAAGCAACGCACACGTCTACATACCCAGACTTGCATTCCTCCCGTAGACATATTGACGCTGAACAGCTGCAGACCTCAAAAACGAGTGAAACGCATGTCCTGCACCGGTTAACCCGACCTGGAGAGTAGCTAAGTATACGTATGCGAGGAGAAAACCAGCCATGCAGAGTGTGCAGAGACACACCGGCGGTCAAAGGAGGCTGAAACAGCCCATATGCGCTCTCTCAGTCACATCTCCCTTCTCTCTCTCTCTCTCTCTCTCACCACAAGGGCGGTTACTTAAGTCTGACTAACAATGAGTCATCAAAAGAAAGCCATTGCACCGAACAGAAGACAAGGTCCCCCGGACCAACCATGGCTTGTAGTTGGCTTGCTCGTTTGCGTGCAACTTGAGCACCACCCAAGATCATCCTATGAGGGCCTTTTTCTGCGCTGCCGGAGATGAGAATCTTCTGCAGGTGGGATGGAACTGTACAGAGTATAATCCTCCTTTTTCCTGCGCCTGTGGCTGCGGTGCATCGACAGGCGAGATGACGAGGGTTTTGCAGCAGCAGCAGACATTCGTTGATTAGATGTCCGATGTCGTTGACTCTGCAGCCGCTTGCCGCCGTGAGATGAGCTATTCAAAGCCTCTAACGATCATCTGACAATCGTCTTGTGATGAGTACAATGCACAACCTCAAGGCGCAGGCACAGCTACACATCTGTCTCTCTTGATTCCACAGTCCTAGGGGAAGACTGTTCCGCAATGTCACGGGAAAGAAGTGATCCAGCCAGGGAGCATTATACTAAGGTAGTCACAACTTCATCCTGTACCAGGAGATGATAGGAAGAAGGAAGGATATCTTTGCCACTCTGCAATACGATCGAAACAAGCCAATTCGGGTGGTGACCACTACTCGCAAGATCTCTTCCCTTTTCCCACAGTAAGCTGCCGCCACTCCGATATGTTGCCTAATGCGGAGACAACACCCTTCATCTCTCGCTTCTGCTGTTCCGCTGAGACGAACTGGCCTACCTCAACAAGGTCTTCGCATTCGCCTTCGTTCTCGTGAAAGACGGCAACACAGTGAAAGTCTTGCTGCGATCTTTCAGCCTTCCCATAAGATATAGAGTACAAGAGGCGAAAAACGCGGTAGAAAGAGGAGGGGGGGGAGGGGCGAGGTTCTACTGCGTACACGGTTGAAGCACCCACTTCGCGGCAGTTGAATACGTAGTAATGGGTTATGCCCTAGTGAAGTCAAGAACTAAGGCCCTTCCTGGCCGTTCAGAAGGTGGATGGCCGAGAATAGACGGTAGTTAGACAAGGACTTAGGTAAACATCATAAGGCTCATTATGGATGAGACCTGACTCGGAAAAAAAAAAATAAGAAATGGCAGGAGACACGAGAGAGTTGAGAGGGGGGGACGTGGCTGGAAAATGATGTACGTCCTAATTTGGTCCGCAAAGTCCCGTGTCGATCCTTTTCGCAGAGAAAGAAAAATAAATAAAAAAGAAAAGGTAGGAATCAAAGGTGGTCCCCTCCAAGCTGGAGGCGACAATTCAGTCCCAGGTCGTATTGGCAGGCCAAATCCAGGTAGAGAGAGGTAAGCACAGGAGTAATAACAGGGTTCATTATCCATTAGGATACTCCGTAATTTAATTTCATTTCTCCCTCTCTCTTTCTGTTGTAATTTGCCTTCAGCCGAGTCGAAGCCGATGGGAGGAGGGGGGGGGGGGGTTGGAAAACTAAGCCCAAATCAGCTAGTCAGGTTCCTTCAATCCTCGGTCATAAACCTTTTTCTGGAGAAGTTTTCTGGGTCTTCCACGGGGCATCACTAGTCCTCTCTGGGTAAGGCTCCGGCATGCCACGCCGGAGATCTGTTCGTCATTGTTTGGTAGCAGCTGGGGCCCGCTTTACCGGACAGGGTAATGGAAACGACCGGGGTGTGTGGGAAGTTGTCCACAAGGGGGAGAGGGGGGGGGTCGATCATACATGACATTTTTCTTGGAGAAGAGGTTATGTAGAGTTTAAAACAAAAAGGAAGTAACTTGCTGCACATCACTACATCTAGACCGTTCTCACCCCCTCTAGGATTGTTTATGAAGTACGAGTAACTCATCATAAACCAAATAAAAAAAGGGGAGGAGAAAAAGACGAACAATTCCGCCGAAAAAGTAAAAATTCCAGCTGACAGGCGGACACAACTGGCACACAAGTGTATGCGGTAAAGGTACTCCATGTGTGTCTAATACCCGGCGCGAAGGATGATCGACTCGTCCCTTCCCCTCCCTAGCACCCGAGAAGGAATGTAATTTCCGTAACTCCCGTGGACTACTGGGAGTTCGACGTACCATGTAAGATCTTCGCCAATCATCCTTCGGCATAATCCTTGTCTCGATACTCGATCGGAAAGAGTGGGTGGGAACGACATACTCATACTCAGTAATCTCGAGTAAAACCAGAAAAATTAATAAGATAAAATGAACAGAAGAGGTTGAAGCTACGGTCACCGCACTTTACCCAGGGCTAGAACCATTTGCGATTGTGTGTCCCTGATCCATGACTATCTGAGACTCTTTCTCCGATCCTGATTTAGTTCGTTGGCAGCTAGCTATGCTTAACATTGATATTATCACGATCTGCTGACATTCGACCGACTTGCGATAACTCAGCAACGGAATACACTCCTCAATCAGGTCCGAATCACAACCTAACTATAGTCTATAGTATATCAACTTATGACCTAACAGCTTTCTTTCTTTACCCCCTCCCTTCCCAAACTTCAATTCAACAAACTTTTCCCAACAATTGGTTCATAATTCTCCGATCTATACCTACCTTACTTTCCAGGAACCCAATCCTTTTTGGACGCACATAGAGCGTATGTATGTACATCAACCACCACTTTCCTCACCACCACATCGGAATCCGATCAAGTATCCACATATCCAGAACAATGAAACATCAACTTTCGGTTCTCCGCTCTCGCTCTCTCTCTGTCTCTCTCTTTTGCAATCCCAATAATCAGCCATAGCACAGCACATATGCTTCGGCATGATAGAAAGGAAAACCACCACCCACTCACCCACTCACCACAAATTTGATTTCACCCTTCACCAATAACAAGCTGCCATTTCCCGCGGGTGGGATTTAAAGTTTCCATTGACGTGTCAAAGTGAACCTTGTATGGAAACCTAGTCTTGAGGGCACGCAGGTTTTTGGGGAGGGCGTGTCTCCGTTGTGGTGTGGACTTTGTTCGTTCGCCCCCTCATCCTTACTACGGCGTAGGTAACTACTGTATGGGGGTTTCTTCAGCTGAAATACTATGTAGTATAGGGGCTCTGCTTGTAGACCGAGGTCGGCTGTTTGTTTTGTTTCTCTCGCCTTTTTTTTTGAGTATGTAATCATCATAATAGCATTTCCGGGGG